GGGTCACATGTTTACAGAGGTCAGGGGTCACGGGCTTACAGAGGTCATGTGTAATGAGCGTGGCGTGTGTGAGGGTTGACGTACTGCCTTGAGTGTGTTCCTCCTCGTCGTTGGGGAAGAGGTCGTCCAGAGAGTCCTTGGGCGGCTCGCCGTCCTTCTCCTCCTGCACACACAGCAGTTTACGTTACTGATACTTCAGACTATATTAGGGAATATTAACAAATGCAACTTCGATTTTCAAAAGTAAATGTTGAAGTTACCAGTAACTTAACAGTTTTTTTAACAATAACAGTAAAGATTGATAATTATAGTTCAGCATTAAATGCGACACTGGTTGCAGTGATTATTACAGATATATAGTAGCACACTACGGTACTGTACATCTACTGTACATCTACTGTACTCCACATCTACTTTACTGTACAGGAGAGAATCTAGTGAAAGGGCCTTTACATTTGCCCAAAAATATACCTGTTTCTTATTAAAAAACAAGCCAATCGCAGATGTACTTTCGCAGATGTACCAAACGCGCAACTTTTTTAAAAAAGTAACTAAGTAACGCATTTAGTTACTTTTTAAGCGAGTAACGCAATATTGTTATACATTAGTTTTCACAGTAACTCCCGGCGCCGCTGGGCATCTCACCGAAGGGGACACGTCCTCGTCGTACTTCTTGAGCTGGTTCATGAACTCCAGGTGCTTCTTCTCCTCCTCCAGCTGGGCCACGCTCTGCTCGCTCTTCTGCAGCTTCTGCTGGGTGTTGGCCAGCTCGTCCCGCAGCCACTGGTTCTCCTGGCAGAGCCGACGCACCTGCGCTCGCAGCTTCTGCTTCTCCGACTCCACCGCCGTCAGGTGGTTCGACAGAGCCATCATCACCTGCACATCAGACAGAACCAGACTCACACCGCTTCACTCTCTGACGGCTGTATGAAGCCGGATTCGGTGCGGATGTGACCGATTAAATCGAATACACTTGATTGTCCCTGATGGGGAACTTTGTTATGGACTCCATAGGCAGCATTTTGCCAAAACCACACATCAAAATAAATAGACTTCACTAATTCATGTTCAAGTCTAATTGATACCGGTACAAAACATAATGTACCTCTGACCCCTGCCCTCACCTGAGCCTCTCCCAGCCCTTGACCTCTGCCCTCACCTGAGCCTCTCCCAGCCCTTGACCCCTGCCCTCACCTGTGCCTCTCCCAGCCCTTGACCTCTGCCCTCACCTGAGCCTCTCCCAGCCTTTGACCCCTGACCCCTGCCCTCATCTGTTCCTCTCCCAGCCCTTGACCCCTGCCCTCACCTGAGCCTCTCCCAGCCCTTGACCTCTGCCCTCACCTGAGCCTCTCCCAGCCTTTGACCCCTGACCCCTGCCCTCATCTGTTCCTCTCCCAGCCCTTGACCCCTGACCTCACCTGAGCCTCTCCAGCCCTTGACCCCTGACCTCACCTGAGCCTCTCCCAGCCCTTGACCCTGCCCTCACCTGAGCCTCTCCCAGCCCTTGACCCCTGACCTCACCGAGAGCCTCTCCCAGCCCTTGACCCCTGACCTCACCCGAGCCTCTCCCAGCCCTTGACCCCTGACCTCACCTGAGCCTCTCCCAGCCCTTGACCCTGCCCTCATCTGTTCCTCTCCCAGCCCTTGACCCCTGCCCTCACCTGAGCCTCTCCCAGCCCTTGACCCCTGCCCTCACCTGAGCCTCTCCCAGCCCTTGACCCCTGACCTCACCTGAGCCTCTCCCAGCCCTTGACCCCTGACCTCACCTGAGCCTCTCCCAGCCCTTGACCCCTGCCCTCACCGAGCCTCTCCCAGCCCTTGACCCCTGCCCTCATCTGTTCCTCTCCCAGCCCTTGACCCCTGCCCTCACCTGAGCCTCTCCCAGCCTTGACCCCTGCCCTCACCTGAGCCTCTCCCAGCCCTTGACCCCTGCCCTCACCTGAGCCTCTCCAGCCCTTGACCCCTGACCTCACCTGAGCCTCTCCCAGCCCTTGACCCCTGACCTCACCCGAGCCTCTCCCAGCCCTTGACCCCTGCCCTCATCTGTTCCTCTCCCAGCCCTTGACCCCTGCCCTCACCTGAGCCTCTCCCAGCCTTGACCCCTGCCCTCACCTGAGCCTCTCCCAGCCCTTGACCCCTGCCCTCACCTGAGCCTCTCCCAGCCCTTGACCCCTGCCCTCACCTGAGCCTCTCCCAGCCCTTGACCCCTGACCTCACCTGAGCCTCTCCCAGCCCTTGACCCCTGACCTCACCTGAGCCTCTCCCAGCCCTTGACCCCTGACCTCACCTGAGCCTCTCCCAGCCCTTGACCCCTGACCTCACCCGAGCCTCTCCCAGCCCTTGACCCCTGCCCTCATCTGTTCCTCTCCCAGCCCTTGACCCCTGCCCTCACCTGAGCCTCTCCCAGCCCTTGACCCCTGCCCTCACCTGAGCCTCTCCCAGCCCTTGACCCCTGACCTCACCTGAGCCTCTCCCAGCCCTTGACCCCTGCCCTCACCTGAGCCTCTCCCAGCCCTTGACCCCTGACCTCACCTGAGCCTCTCCCAGCCCTTGACCCCTGACCTCACCTGAGCCTCTCCCAGCCCTTGACCCCTGACCTCACCTGAGCCTCTCCCAGCCCTTGACCCCTGACCTCACCTGAGCCTCTCCCAGCCCCAGCTCGATCATCTCCACAGACTTGCGCAGCAGGCTGGACTTCTCGTGCACCACGTTGGCCTCCTCGTCCTTCTTCAGGCACTTGATGGTCTCCAGGAGGCTGTGCAGGATTGAGTTGTGCTCGTTCTTGAGCGCCTCCAGGCCCTGGATCACCAGCTTGGTGTTGGAGATGATCTCCTCCTGCGACAGCTTCTCCAGCTTCTCATCTCGAGGGTACAGGATCGCAGACATGATCCGGCAGAGCAGCGGCTGAGGAGGACACAGGCAAACAGAGGCCGTGAGGAAGGTTAGCGGTCGTGAGGATGTTCACAGAATATTAAAGGGGACACATTACGCCCCTTTTGACATGATGTCATGTATATCTCTGGTGTCCCCACACCTGTGACACTTCAGCTCAAAATCATTTATCATAGCTTGTCAAATTTGCCTCTTTTTCGGTGTAAACAAAAACACATTTTTGTGTGTGTCTCTTTAAATGCAAATGAGCTTTAGCTCCGCTTGACCGCTTCGGTCAATGATGATCTCGTCCCTCCAAAACAGTTTCAGCCAAAACTGAAAATGAATTTGCATCACTAGCTAGTGTGGATCAGCTAGTGTGGATCAGCTAGTGTGGATCAGCTAGTGTGGATCAGCTAGTGTGGATCAGCTAGTGTGGATCAGCTAGTGTGGATCAGCTAGTGTGGATCAGCTTGTGTGGATCAGCTAGTGTGGATCAGCTAGTGTGGATCATCTAGTGTGGATCAGCTAGTGTGGATCAGCTAGTGTGGATCAGCTAGTGTGGATCAGCTAGTGTGGATCAGCTAGTGTGGATCATCTAGTTAGGATCATCTAGTGTGGATCAGCTAGTGTGGATCAGCTAGTGTGGATCATCTAGTGTGGATCATCTAGTGTGATCATCTAGTGTGGATCAGCTAGTGTGGATCAGCTAGTGTGGATCATCTAGTGTGGATCAGCTAGTGTGGATCAGCTAGTGTGGATCAGCTAGTGTGGTTCAGCTAGTGTGGATCAGCTAGTGTACAGGTGAGATCAAGCGGCGGACGCGAGCCTCAGTTCGCACACAGAGAGCCTGTGGCAGTCATTTCCCTAGATAACATCCTCCATGCAGTCCTCCACATCACACACATACACATACACACACACATACACACACACACACACACACACACAAAAGAAACACTGACATTGAACTATACCACAGACGCAAACACACACACACACACACACAGAACACTGGCTGAGCAGCGCAACCGGTATATAACACACACCGAACACATCATACGTGTGTGTGTGTGTGTTGATCTCACCGTCAGCAGCACCAATGATGAAACAACTCTAGTCTCAGCAACACACACAGGAAACAGAAGAACACACACGACTGAAGCGAGCAATTGCCGACACCCATCAGAACACAGCAGAGAGAGAGAGCGCGCGTGTGTGTGTGTGTGTGTGTGTGTGTGTGTGTGTGTGTGTGTGTGTGTGTGTGAGAGAGCATCATCCCCCCACCCTCATAGAGACTGACAGAAGGGTGGGGGAGGATGTAGCTGAAACACACACACACACACGCTCTTGTGATCAGAACCACAGATTCACATCAGACACGACCACTGCAGTGACCTCTGACCCCGCTCAGGTCATCAGTCATTCGCTCCCCTCCTCCATTACTGCATGTTTCATGAGTCTGGCGTTTCTGACAGCCAGTTCTGCACACACACACACACACACACACACTACGACACATGTGGTGTGAGACAGTGTGATGATGTCAGATGGACAGCTGAAGATTCATCACACACACACACTCACACTCACAAACACACACACACATCAAACTATGAGAAAGTATCAAAGTAGCCATAATAGTAAGTGTCCTAATATTGTTATAATAATGTTGACTAAGCAAGCCAAAGGTGACAGGTGTGTGTGTGTGTGTGTGTGTGTGTGTGTGTGGAGGGTGTGTGTGTGTGTGTGGAGGGTGTGTCTCACTGCATCTGTTATTTCACTGCAGAAACCGTTTCCAACACTCTCGATCCTCTCATACACACCAGCGCTTTAGACAAGACGTTTATTATTATTATCTCACACACACACACACACACACACACACACAGATATGAGCTGACGTAACTCTCACACACACACAAACAAACTGATGCAGTGACACAAACTCAGTAAACAAGCACATGGTGAAGAACACACACAAGAACTGGAGCGACGGGTCGGACGAGTATCACACACACACACACACACACACACACACACACACACACACACACACACACACACACACACACACACACACACACACACACACACACACGCACACACACTCAACTGGAGGAGTATGCTTAAAAAACTAGAAAACTAATTATCAGCCAATCAAAACTACTTAAATAAAACATTTCACATCTCATGAGGAGAGTCTGCTCATTATTAGCATTGGACTATTAGCATGACATCACAGTTCTGTCAGTTCTGTTCCTGCAGTGGATTATAAAGCAGTCAGAATCATCAAATCTATCAGTCAGTCAGTCATACACACACATTTATATAATCTGATCATAAATATAAATACACACACTCACTCAATCACTCACTCTCTCTTACACATACATACATACAAACTCTCACTCACTCTCTCTCTCTATCTCACTCTCTCTCTCTCCCTCACACACACTCTCACGCACGCACACACACACACACACACACACACCTCAGTAATATACAGTCTGACAGCCCAGACCCGCTTAGACAGCACAGGCGGGCAGCAACTGTTCGTCTAGACTCTAGATAGACAGCACACTAGTGTGTATCGAGTGTGTGAGGGTCCTGAATGCAGAACACTACACAATCACTCTCTCGCTCTCGCTCTCGCTCTCTCTCTCTCTCTCTCTCTCTCTCTCTCTCTCTCTCTCACACACACACACACACACCTCAGCGGCTGCTTCATCTCTCACACACCGCGAAACGCGCTTCCTCAATAAACACACATGTCGAGCGGCTCACACACACACACACACACACTCATGAACGCGCTTTAGAGAGAGACGTCTCACACCTGAAATCGTTGCTTTTGTCCGGATTCGTTCAGACCGCTTTAAATCCAAGATGTCCACTGTGGATGTGACACTGCGCATGCGCACTCACAGGGACGCGTCGTTGGAAATGACGTCACTTCTCAGGCGGGGTTCTCGGGTAGGCGTGGCTTTCTGTTCTCATGTGGGCGTGACTTTCAGCTCCTGACAACAAACCACCTTTCAGCAAATAATACTCAGCGGATTATTATAAGAACGATTAATTATTATAAGAAAAATTATTATAATAATTATTTGTTACAGGAAAACAATAATTACAATCATCAACAACATAACATACAAATACAAAATACCTATGTGTGTTATGTGTTGTTCTCTCGGTGAACAGCAGGCGGCGGTGGCGCGCGCAGTGCCCGCTGGCGAGAACGCGCAGAAGAAAGAGACTGTGACGCGAGTTAAGCGCGACGCCGGGAGCTGAAGGACGGCGACTGTGGATTATTAATATTATTATATTAATGTTTTGAGTGAGTGGATCTATAGTTCGCGGTGAGTGATCGCATGTTCTTCTGTCTGCTAGAGAGAGATTTATTTGTTATGTATATTATTAATTATTAAACAGGGTTTCCAACTCTCACGCTTTTGGCGTAAGAGACACACACGCTCTCAGTAAATCTCACATATGAGAATATGAGATATGATATGAGATCAGAAACTAAAGTCTCCGACACGGATCAGCTCCACACAGCCAGCGCTGTCAGTCTGGATCAGGACACAGGGATTGCAGGGAAACATTGTAGTATAGAGTGCATTGATTGTTAAACGCATTGACTATTTTGTAATTAAAAACATGTTCAATGTTTTAACTTAATAATATTTATGAACTATTTTGAGTAGATCTTTCGTAACTAAATACTGTTTGTGCATTAATTATGGTCCATTAATGACAACTTAAAAAAATATGATTAAAAATCATATTTTTCTAATATTTATTATTATTATTTATATTAAAAGCAGTATAGTATTTAAGGCTAAAATTGAGAAAATTGTTTAAAATGTGGAAAATTAGAGTCATTTTGTGGCCAGAAAAATAATACTTTCCATGTGTAATGCCACGGTTGGCCACTAGGTGTGGCTCTTTCATAAACACACACACATCCAGTCGAGTTGCTCTGAGTATTGCAGATCATAACTCCGGTTTTGCATTTGAATTACATATTTAAACATGATCAAATACTGTATTTTTCACATGATTAAGTTAGAAAAGTTAATAATTAGTTGGCAACCCTGTGTACATGCATGATTGGAAATGCTGTGGCAAGCACATCTCAGCGCTAAACTAGTGATCATCATCAGTGATGTATCATCGACAGTTGGTCCCATCACTGCACTCATCATGTTGGCGTGTAATCTGCGCTGCAGTTATTAATTATGACCTGCAGCTATTAATTATGATCTGCGTTCGTGCTTGTTTCTGCGCTGTGTTCAGATTGAGGATGAGCGTCGGTCTGCTGTCACGCGCACTGAGCGCGCTCTCTGTGTCGCGCGCCGCCTCGTCACCTCAGGTCAGATCTCCATCCTCCTCTCCATCACACATTACCTGTCATCACGTCAGCTGATCACTAATCACGTGCTTCACTTAGATCGCGAGTGTGTCCGCGGCTCTGACTGGAAATCGCAGCTTCATGACGAGCGCGTGTGTGTGTCAGAACCGGAGCCTGTGGAAACAGAGAGAGAAGTACACCGTGCGACCGATCGGCATGAAGAAGACCGGGGGACGAGATTACACAGGTCTCACACACACACACACACACACACACACACACACACACACACACACACACACACACACACACACACACACACACAGTCACTCTTTAATACACACACACACACACTCTCTCTGACGGTGTCTGTGCTGCAGGGAGGATCGTGACTCACGGTATCGGCGGCGGACACAAGCAGCGTTACCGTATGATCGACTTCCAGCGTCTGCGCTACGAGCCGGGCCGCGAGGACCAGCCCATCGTGGAGAAGGTGGTGGAGGTGCGGTACGACCCCTGCAGGTCAGTGTGTGTGTGTGTGTGTGAATAATAAAAGGCCCCGGGTGACGCGTGTCCTCGTGCGCACAGATCTGCTGACATCGCGCTGGTCGCCGGCGGCAGCCGCAAGCGCTGGATCATCGCCACGGAGACCATGGAGGCGGGAGACGTGATCCGCTCGTCCAGCGCCATCGGACGCATGGCGGTTCTGGCCAAAGAGGGAGACTCGCACCCGCTCGGGGCTCTGCCCATCGGCACACTCGTCAACAACCTGGAGCTGCGGCCCGGCAGAGGAGCTCAGTACATCCGCGCTGCAGGTCCGACACACACACACACACACACACACACGCACACACACACACTGACTGTGACTCTGGTGTGCAGGGACCTGTGGGGTGTTGCTGAGGAAGGTCAACGGCACAGCCATCGTCCAGCTGCCGTCCAAACACCAGATCCAGGTGAGCAGAGACTGGTACGGGTCTCCAGAACCCTGTCGCCGTGAGCTGTGTGTGTGTGTGTGTGTGTGTGTGTAGGGTCAGTGTTTATCTAGTTTGCTCGTGGTCAGTGTCAGCAGAGTGTAAAGCGAGTGTTATAGATGTGTGTGTTCCCGGTGTGTGTGTTCCCGGTGTGTGTGTGTGACGCGTGTGCTGTTGCTCTCAGGTGTTGGAGACGTGTGTGGCCACAGTGGGCCGAGTGTCGAACGTGGACCACAACAAGCGCATCATCGGGAAGGCGGGTCGGAACCGCTGGCTGGGCATCCGGCCCTCGAGCGGCCGCTGGCAGAGGAAGGGCGGCTGGGCCGGGCGCAAGATCAGACGCCTGCCACCCATCAAGAGCTTCGTCACGCCCGCGCAATAAACTGAGCGTCGCAATAACACACCTGTGTCTCGGGTCATATCTGTTCACACACACACACACACACACACACCTGTGTCTCGGTCACGTCTGTTCACACACACACACACACACACACACACACACACACACACACACACCTGTGTCTCGGTCACGTCTGTTCACACACACCTGTGTCACGTCACGTCTGTTCACACACACACACACACACCTTGTGTGGTTAAATCTCTTTATTAAACACGCTGTGTGTGTGTGTGTGTGTAAGCATGGAAAGCACGTTATAAACTGAGATGATTGTCCAGTGTAGAGCTATTGTCCGCAGTGTGTGAACGAGCTGTTGTGCAGATGAGCGTCTGAAACACTGGCGAGTTCATGTCTCACACACACACACACACACACAACCCCTTCAGGAAGTGATGTAAGAGCTCACAGTGAACTCACCCAGAGATCCTCATTACTCCCTCAGAACACACAAACCGGTCCCGTGACCCTCGACAGATGACCTCTGGGAGAACGCTGGGGACCAAACACACACTGGACCCCACTGACTGTCATTAAACACACACTGAAAGTGTTCCGGTTCGGGAGGGAGAGTGAAGGATGACCTTTAGTGTGTCCAGATCTCGGTGTCCCGCAGGAAGAGGGATGAAGCCGCTGTCCTGAAGTGTTCGTTACAGGAAGTGCTGAGCATCCATACATTCATCAGCACACACGACTGAACGAGTACACACACACACACACACACAGATGAACACACAGATGCGCTGCAGACGGCTCAGATCTGAGAGAGGACTCAATCTCCCATGATGCTTCAGTGCTTCAGACCGCTCCTGTCACTCAAACTGCAGCTTGTGCTTTTATGAAACAGCAAAATATGGCGTGTCAAAATTACACACGCGCTTTCATTCCCGTCAGACTCCCATGAGGTCTGATCACATGACCACAGCTTCACTCGTTCACTGGTGGAGCACGAGTGTGTGTGTGTGTGTGTGTGATGGACAACGGGTCACGTTCACACCAAGAACAATAACTATGTTCAGATCATATACTTCTGCTGTTTAGAAGCGCTTCTGTCGCTTTAAATGCTCGGGGTCCTAAAGCAGGGTGGATTCTGATTGGCTGTCAGTGTTTCTGTGCTTCATCAGCTGGATGATGTCACTCTGAAAGTGATTCTGGATCGTTCTTCTGGACCTGGTGTGAACGGCCGGTTTGTGTCATGTGACGATCATGTGATGCTCTCGGGTATCAGTGCAGGAACTCTTCGTCTGTCCACAGTGTGTGTGTGTGTGTGTGTGTGTGCTTTAAAAGGCAGGTTCAGTTTAGTGTTTCAAATTCATTGTGCAACTACAAAATATCACAGACACAAACAGCTTTAACATCTGGGGTACAAAACATCCATTTCAATTCACAGCAAAACACCTCGACCTCGACACGACCCTGACACGACCTCGTCACGACCTCTCGACACACACGTCCAGGACCCGTCCCATCATGCATTATTCCACACAGGATTTCACAGAAATTATAAAGTAGCAGAAACAACAGAAAGTGCTCGACGTTTGCCGTCTCCGTCCAGTTCATCATGGCCTCAAAATAGATTCATATAAAATTTCAAACACACACACACACACACACACACACACACACACACACAACGCTAGACAGGAACTGGAGACAGTCAGGTTTCCATGGGAAACTCGTCAGTGAACGTGTAGTGGCACACACACACACACACACACACACACACACACACGCGGCTGCAGGACGTCACGCGGGTTTGCTGTAGCCGAACACACCGACGGGGAAGTGCTTGACGTGAGTCGGCCACTGGGCGGCCAGCTGGAAGAACTTCACATCGTTCCACTCCACGCCGTCGATCGACACTGAAACACACAAATCAAAATATTATATATTATTATTACTAAGGGCCTGAGCATTTATTCTGTTTTTGAGCAGTTTTTTCCAATAGAAATGTGTTAAATTCCCTAATTAATTCTTTAAATGCCTTTTTCTCAAAATGGGTTTTTGTCATTCTCCAGGACAGATATCTCAGCCTGAGTCGCACTACACACACACCACACTCTCCAGATATACACTCAGCAGTGCTCTGGAGATATTTGTTAAATCATGCCTGGCCTGATTTATGTGACATTTTAATAAACAAATATGGCAAAAATAGTTTTTTAAGGTTATGGAGAGTATATTTAGATTTCCTCGGGAATGAAATCATAAATCTGGAATCCCTCTGAACTTTTGTCATCTTCTGTGTAAACACCTGGCTACTGAAAATATATGCAAACTTGTACATATTTAATGAGATAATGCCTAATTTGCATAATTAAACATACAAATTTCAAAAACGTATAATACATTGTTTATGTACTTGTGTAAGTAACCCACTGAGGAAGTTTCATGGTCTTTAAAATCTGTCCCGTATTCACCTGCAGTGTCTCGCCTTAATGGGTTAGTTCACTTTTGAAAAAACTTTTGCTGGTAATTTACTCGCCCCCATGTCATCCAAGATGTCCATGTCTTTCTTTCCTCAGTCGAAAAGAAATTTAGGTTTTTGATGAAAACATTCCAGGATTTTTCTTCTTATAATGGACTTCAATGGGGTCCAACCGAGGTCCAAACGACAGTTAATAACAGTTTCAGATGCAGCTTCAAATGTCTTTAAACGACACCAGACGATGAATAAGGGTCTTATCATGCGAAACGATCGCTTATTTCAAAGCTTATTCCAAAAATGTAACTTTTCTAAGGACAAATGCTAGCCTTGCTCTATTCTGTGAGGCGCGTTTGTAACGTCACGTAATACGTAATTACGTTCAAAAGGTCACGGGCGACGTAGCCAGAAGTACAGAGTCAGTGTTTACAAGTTGAACGCATAGGTTGAACGTGCAAACCAACTCAAACGCCGTTTACAAAAAAAGGAATTAAAAGGGAAAACAACGATGTCGGACGATTTTGATTTTGTACTTCTGGCTACGTCGCCCGTGACCTTTTGAACGTAATTACGTATTACGTGACGTTACAAACGCGCCTCACAGAATAGAGCAAGGCTAGCATTTGTCCTTAGAAAAGTTACATTTTTGGAATAAGTTTTGAAATAAGCGATCGTTTCGCATGATAAGACCCTTATTCATCGTCTGGTGTCGTTTAAAGCTGCACTGTAACTGTCTTTTGGACCTTGAACCGTTTGGTTCCCATTGAAGTCCATTATATGGAAAAAAACCTGGAATGTTTTCATCAAAAACCGTAATTTCTTTTCGACTGAGGAAAGAAAGACATGGACATCTTGGTTGACATGGGGGCGAGTAAATTATCAGCAAAAGTTTTTTTCTTTAATGGACAGAGTTTGCTTTAGGATCAGTGTGTGTGTGTGTGTGTGTGTGTGTGTAGGCTGCACCTCTGAGCATGGTGTGCTGGTGTTTGGCCGTACAGATGAGCCGGCTGATGCCGTCGATCACCTGACTCTTAGAGTCCACATCCTTCTCCTTCAGCTTCTTACTGAGGAAAATCACTGCAACACAAGAACACACACACACACACACACACACACACACACACACTGATCCTGATGGCCAGAACGAGAGAAACACGCAGTGTGTGTGTGTGTGTGTGGATCAGAACCTTTCTTGTTCTTCTCTCTGGTGACGACGGTCATGGCCATGCAGTGTGTGGGACCGGTGTCGCCCCCGCTGGGCAAGCGGCTGACCTGCAGCGAGCGGAAGTTGCTCTTCAGTGTGTTCTTCACGTCACGCTTATCACACTCACGCCGCTTCTCCCCGCTCGGCCACGTCCAGTAGTCCACCTGCAGACCCATCAGCTCTCCACCCGTGCACGGGGACCTGCACACACACACACACACACACACACACACACACACACACACACACACACACACACACACACACACACACACACACACACACACACAGTGAGTGTCATGAAGCCAGTGAAGGACTGGTACAGTATGCTGACTTTGGTGTGTAATGTGACCCAGATTCACTCAAACACACACGTGTTGCTCATGTCATGTGACGGGATGATGTCATACCCCACTCCGGTGAAAACGGCACATGTGGAGGGTGAGGGGGGCGGAGTCACACACATCTCCTTCCCGTAGGGCGTGGGCGAGGACACGACACCCGCATTCACGGCATCATCAGAGTCCACTGCGCACACACACACACACACAGGAGAACACACACTTACACCGTCTGCGGACCGCTGTGCCTCACACACTCACACACTCACGAACCCTGGGAGTGTTTGATGACCCACATACGGGAGAGTCGATGCGGCCCGACTCACGCTGGGAGATCTATTAATGAGCGCGAGCGCAGGGCAGATGACCTCATTTCCTGAGGACCAGACCACCTGACTGATGACATCAGAGAACACACACACACACACAGGAGCACTGCGGAACACTAAGAGGACGGTGGACTCACTCAGATTAGGTGTTTGTTCCATTCGACAGGGTCCCTACGCAGTGTTCACTGCTCCCTACTCCCTGAACACGGTATATCAGTTGAAGTGGACTTCACTGACTTCCTGTGAAGTGATGTATCGATGTTCCCTTATTCCCTATGCCGTTTGCAGTGCCCTTCGAACTGAACATTTCCGTTCCCTTCGAATTGGAATCTCACTTAAGATGGCGAAATACCCTGTGAAGTCCACTTCGCAGTCCACTTACGGCCGAATGGAACGCACCTTAGGGTTATACTGCTGTGCATTACAGGCTTGTCACGCTAGTACACTTGAGTTTGAAGCGGCGTCGGACACACGGAGACGCTTCTAGCAAACACAGCACAGCTCTGAACACACACTCCGGCGGATCGACTGAGACGCAGTTCTCGTGTTGTAGTGCGACTGAAAACTGTGACGTGAGTTTATTGAACCCATAGATGTTGATGAGTTCACACACTCTCCACATCACAGATGACACACACTCGCGGCGCCTGCGGTCCGGCTTCAGCTTTGGGCCGAACACATAACGCTGAGTGAGCGTCAGAC